CTTCTCTGTCTCCTTGTAGTCATTGGATACTTTTTAAAGAAATAGAAACTCGATTAAGCTCGAGAACCTGCAAGCTCAGTATTGGCATGCTTGAGCTCAACTCAAAAAGGTACTCGAGCTCAGACTCGGAAAAAATACTCGAGCTCAAGCTCAACTCCAAATTAGGAGAGTCACTCTCGAGTGCTGATCAAGTCGAGCTTTCGTTAATCCCTTCCACCAGCTTCCGAAACTGTTGAAAGGCTTACAGCAAAACCCCTACGGAAATGGCAATTTTGGTCTCAAAATGCATGGACAAAAATTAACACCAAAACTATCACACAAGATACTCGGAAGCCAAAACTAGCTTTCAGAAATTTTCCAAAAGCATCCTAAATTATGACAAACTCCACATTAACCTTTAAACAACTCACTGAGAATTTCATTTCATACATATCTCAAATCAGTTTCAGTATAACAAGCATTAGTCCATCGTGGATATCTCTGATGAGCCCCATCTACAAGGCCAATTTCAATTGCGTATGTCAAGATCATAAGCGAAAGCAAAAATCCTCAGAAAAGAGTTGTATTTGATCATAACCACCCAAGTGGACGTGATTTTAGCTTTAGCTTCTCCCGGTGTCCCAGCACTTTCTGGGTGTAAAAATTGACACAATTTCCTGTGAGTATCTCTCTATCCTTTTAACTAGACACGTTCTTAATGGCTTTAAGCATATGGGCCGTCCTAGCAGATGAATCGATTCATGGGATTGACTCGTAGACAGCAAAATTCAACATGACCAGACTCCTAGTATTTCCATGTAACAGCCCCTTTTGTAAAACTTTAATATTTCCTTCTTTCTAAACCAGTCTTAGATTGCAACCAGACACGAAATTCTTACCTTGATTAGAGACTGCTGCAGATGGGATAATAAGGAACAAGAATACCTCCCCCATGGCCTGTATCGATCAACCTAACAAAGCCTACTTTCTTACCTTCGGATCTCACTGACCAGTAGAGTAGTAGATCCACCAACCAAGCAGAGCAGCCGAGAACAAAACATGTACCAGCAATAAAAGTGGATAGGACAAGAATCACCTCGTAGAGGTACATTTTGCACTTCCAGGTTCTGCTGCATATTACTTGAATACACTGGTATGTGTAGCCACCAATTCATGGAGATAAATAGCATAGTATAAAACCTCATCAGACTAGTTCCTTGTTTCTTCAATACATATACCAAGGACAAAACCTCGCTTTCCCAGCACATCCTCAGTAAGCATGCTTGAACTAAGTTTGACATGATAGCAGCGAAATATGAAGCATCCATTTAGTCTTTCTCAAGTGATTCTACAACTTCTGGAAATTTGGAACAAACTCCACGTTCCGACGAAAAGTTAAATAAACATTAACCATCGTTAGTTTCCCCATGTACAGCCTAAGCACACTACTACAATTTGTCCTCTAGTTCATGGCAATTGAAATAGCAACCAGGACCCTCAGAGTACTTACAAATACCTTTTTTTCACGAGAGACTCCAATTCCAGTATAGAAAAGCTACATATGGTTTCCCGGCACATACCTTAGCAATTTCAGGCTTAAACTAAGCTCGAACTACAAGCATTAAGGCCCCGTTTGGTTCAGCTTTGAGAAGAGGCTTTCGGCCTCGAAAGCCCCTTCCCAAAATGCTGAACCGTTTGGTTCGGCTTTCCGAGTTTGGAAAGCTGAAAGCCAGCATTTGGAATGCCATTGGAATGCCGAAAGCCCAAAGCTGCTTTGGGCTTTCAGCATTTGTGGAATGCTGAAGCCTATTTTTCCTTCCCAAATTGCCCTCACTCAAATTTCAATTTTCCGGTTTTGCCCTGTCACTGTTCATCTTCTTTAACGTGAGGGTGGCCGTCGAGGGTGGCCGGCGAAAGACCGGCGAAGGACCGGCGAGGGCGGATCTGGCCGGCGAGGTCGCCTGACCCCAGGCGGCCGTCGCCTGGGTCAGGCAACCTCGCCGGCCCCTCGCCGGGCCTTCGCCGGCCAGATCCGCCCTCGCCGGCCCCTCGCCGGCCACCCTCGCCGGCCACCCTAGTCGGTGAAGAAGATGAATAGTAATAGGGGCAAAATCGGAATATTAAGAATAAAAATTGCCAAAGCCCTTTGCAAAAACAAATTTACCAAACACTATTTAGGCTAAAGTAGCTTCACAAATTTTTTTTTACCAAACACCACTTGCATTTCCCCAAGTGGCTTTCACCTAAAGGTATTTGCATTCCCCCAAGTTGCATTTGAAAAGCCGAACCAAACGGGCCCTAAATGAGAAGCATCCTAGAGACACCACAAATCAGTATCACAGATTCAAGCAAAGATGATAAAGAACTCCAATGAGTTAGCATATATTAAAATTGCGTCTTGTAAGATCCCCGATCTTCCGAGTCAAAAGTTGATGAGCGACTTGAATTGCACTTAAACAAGCAAGTTAGCAAAATCATAGTGAACTAACTTTTCAGCTCGTTGAAATTGTTGGAATCACAATCTTCTACATGATTTCAACCATTCTAACAATTACACAAAGGAACCCTACTTTAAACGACAATTAGCATTTGGCTTGAGAAACATAGTCCAAGTCATGAAAATGAAAAAAAAATCCCACTATTAGTAAAGTGATAAGTATCAAATATTAGGGGTGAGCAGTTCCAGGTTCTGTATAGATTTTACTTGAAATCTGTAACCTATCCATGAGAACAGGTTCCTCATTTTTTGAAACCTGAAACCTATCCTACATACCTTGGAAGTTGGAACCTACCCTTTTCCAGGTTTTAGGGTCAGTTCCCAGATTCCACTTGTATTATTATTAATTGAACGAATGCAGTGAATTATCACTTTTAATGATCACCATTTGCTACTAGAATTCATTGGCCACAACTTATATTTAGATACACGAAGAATATGGATCATTAACATAGTAAAAGTATCAGTCATGAAATGAAAACTCATACTAGTGGTTCCAGATTATACACTCGTCATTGGATGCCATGGAATACCGCAGGATCGCGCGAAGACATAAACCAAGAAAAATACAAAAACTTGTTTTAGGTTCTAGGTTCCACCTACCTAGAACTTGAAACCCATCCGTCGAAAAAGGTTTTTCAATTTTTAGAACCTGGAACCTACCCTGCATACCCAGTAACTTAGAACCGACCGGTCCGATTCTCAGGTTCCAGGTTCTATCCTGGGACCATGCTCACCCCTATCAAATATTCAAGGCTCAAAAGCACGTTGACCCTGTACCTTCCACCCCACTTGCCTTCTCCCTAACTTTGATTTCTTGGCTCATTTCTTAACTTCAATTTCTCGAGCCCACGAGTTTTGCCCCACATATTACCAAATCAAACATTTGTCCACATCTTCACCATTTCATAAACATCCAGAAAATGTGGGAACAACATTAAAAAATTAGCCCACATGCAATAGATCTTATACAACAGTAGATATATGAAATTGCATTTAACCATGTCATCCAAAAAGTATACTATGTTTAAAATATCAAATTCCAATGTCAATAAAATTTCACGATTTCATGATCCACTTTTACTATTTGATCTCAAATACAAAAGCAATTTTACTATCCTTAATACACTAAAATTACTGTCTCTGCCAAAAAAACATGTTTTACCCTTCAACCGTTGGAATAATTTCGAACTCTTCTACTCTAAGAGCGGCTTGCAGCACAACTGATTAAAATACTGGTTTTATTATATAATGATGTCTCCCTTTCAGCTACCATCCAACCAATAAGTACACATACTGTCTACTGAAAGAATGCACAAGCTATACAGTCTCATCATCAAACTGCTGCACCTCAGACTTGTTAGATTTAAAGCTGGCTAGGTCCTCCCAATAGATGTTGGATTGTCGTCCTTACATTCTACACTCCTAGTATCACCAAGTCCCAACAGGGAGTTTGCTTCAATGCAAATTCATAAAAACACATTAAGAAGAATGCCACATGAAATGATCTTTTTTTAAGTTCTGACTGTGCACAAATCACAAAGTTTCAGTCCCACCAAGGGATCCCAAATGGAATTCCAGCAGGTGCCTTGTACCTTGGCATTTCAAACAGCAGAACAAAGTTTAAACCGTATTTGTCTGGTCTATCAACATGCAAGGTGAACATGTCCCAGAGAAGACGAGAATCGTTTTAGTTTACACAAAAAGCCCGGACAAATTGTAACAACCAGCCTATTTTTTCACAAAAAGAAAATTCCATTGACGCTGACTCAAATCTATTCATCAAGAAGCAAAAGAATATGTCTGTATGTCCATATACTAAACGCTTTTTCATCCGCTCTTCTTATCATTAGCAAACAATATCTTCTCTGAACAGAGAAAGGCAGAAAACAGATCAGCCATAAGGTAAGGTCAACATGTCCACGAGACAACAAGAACTATCATAGTTCAACAAAAGCCTGGGGCGATTGTGATAACTGGCCTGTTTTTTGCAAATAAAAAAAAAGACGGTCCTAATTACATGAAAGTCGAGTCATGAACCTCGAATAAATCATCTAAATTGTGAAAACATTCTGACTGAAAGGCACTACATTTCCATCAGAAAGGAGTAGCCTTATAGGTTATACAGCTGCCTGCTGCCAATTGAAGCACGTAATAACTCTGTGAAACATTGGAACAAGAAGAGAAAGGTTTCTAGGCTAACCTAACTATTCTTGGAAACAAGAGGCAATCATTCATTGACCAAAATATTCAGTCAATCAACAAAGCGGAAGTTTACGCAAGTAGGATAAAACTCATCCACATCAATGACGTCAACCATTCATAGGTTGCACAATGTTGATGTATATCCTGCCCATGAAGTTAAAGTCAATTCGATCAAGACAGACATTAGTTCGCGCATTTCAGTATTTATAGAAAAAGAAAGACATCTTCATTGCGTTTGATGTTGAGGAGAACTTGCACACAAATCTCCCAAAAAATGTTGTCAGCCATTGCCACTAAAATCTGACAAGCAGCAGAGACAGAATCTAAAAGTTTTGTGATCTCTACATACCACTTCTCAACCAAATTACAACGAATCATCCAATTTCATTACATCATAACTACATCCATTACTCGTAAACTGAACTATGGCTTCACTATCTTTCATATCCCACACCCAAAACTCGGCACAAATCACTGGAAAACCCCACACATCTCTAGCCATTTCTACTAAAAGATGACGAGCAAAGAAAATAGAGTGTAAATCAAAAAGCACGCGTACGCAACAAGGCCACGATGCTCCTCCTCGCCTTCGGCAAGCGCCACCATCAGGGCCGTGGACGCCCTCGTCGCCCACAACACGAAGACCCCAGCGATCACGAACCGGACCACACTCGCTTGCGGCAAGAACAGCGACGCCGCCGACAAGATCACCACGGGCAGCAAACAGTACCCGACGACGCTCGTACACGTGTGCAGATTCAGCTGGCCGTTACGCCCGGCGAGCATGTTGAACACCACGTAGAGGAACATCGAGGAGACCACGATCCATCCCAGGATGACGCCGAATTGGATCTTGCCAGCGAGCAACTGGAACAGGCAGAGCGAGAGGTACAGGATGATCGGTCCAGACAGATCGGAGTCCTTGTGGACGGCCGGGTTCACGCGGAGAGGGTTGAGGATCGACCGGGTCTTCTTCCAGATCTGTTCGGGGTGGATGCCGAGCTCGTCGAGCAGGGGCTCCTCGTCGTCGAAGTTCGCGGAGCCGGAGGGGCCCCCGCCACCGCCGCCGATGGGGCCGCCGTAGATGGTGGAGGAGGCGGCGGAGGCGGCGGGGCCGATGTCGAAGGACATGAAGGGGAGGCTGGAGCCCGAGGGGCGCGGGGGCTGGAACGGCGCCGTGGGGACGCGGCGCTGCTGGAGGTTCCCCGCGGCGGGGTTTCCGCCGGCGGGGAAGACCACCGGCGGGACGGCGAATTCCTTCGTCATGGCGAAGAGGCAGAGAGACAGGTGAGGGAGGAGCTCGCCGGTTCAGGAGAGGAGGATTAGGGTTTCGAGGATCGATTGCGGAGAAGAAGCGATGCGAGATCGGAGCGGCGAAATCGGAGAGAGAGAGAGATTCTGGGGAGAAATACGAAGGATGGGGGGGATCGGTCGATCTGGAAGGGGAGCTTAGGTTGAGGGAGGAGCGGGAGGGCATATCCGGGATTGGTGTCGGCGGGTCCCGCAGACGTGTCGCGAGCCCATTGGCCCGGTGATGCCCTCCGGGGGGAGGGGGTGAAATTACCTTCGTAGGACGTGGATTCCATTTCTGCGCTGATGGGAACTTGGGGGAGTTTTCTTTTTTTTTTTTTGCCTTGGGCGTGAAGGTTCTGATCGTTTTTTGCCTCTTTGTACGTGAAAAATTGGATGATTTAAAAAATATTTTTATGAAAACGATTGCTTGAATATAATAAAAATAATTTTCATTTCTTTATTTTTTTATTAGCGATTAATTTTAGAAAAATAACTTCTAAATTATTCATTTTTCGCGAAATAAGTCACTAAGTTGTTGCAAATATCGATATTACTCTGCTAACGAGTTGTGGTTATTTGTCTGAATCATAAGTTATTTAAATTTTGACCAAAAAAATAGGTTATATAAATTGAAAGGTCGAAAAATTAATCGCATAATTAGCCAACTGAACGAAAATTGGTCCCATTTATTTCGCGAAAGATAAATGATTTGAAAAAAATATTTTCTAATACTAATCGCTTATATCCCGTAAGATAATTAGTCGATGAAAAAAATGTTTTCATCACGGTGACAATTTCTGTGTAAACATTTTTGCGAATGGGGAAAATATTTTTTGTTTATTCATGTTTGCACGCGATTGTTTTTAGAAAAATAATTTTTAAAATCATTCATTATTTGAAAAACAAACAAAGTTTAAGTGATCTAAATTCGAAGAAAAATAACACCCCGAGACCGAGAGACAGATCACGCAATAAAAAACAGGATGTTCTTTTTGTTTTTGGCCAAAATAGGATGTGCAAGGTGTATGCCTCTTCTTCTTCTTTTTTTGTAAAATTTCAAATTTTTGATTAATTTTCTTTATTTATTTTAGGTTAATTCCTATGCACCAAGAAGTAGGTCTAATTATCCCCAAAACAGTATAATAATAATAATAATATATTTTTTTTGTATTATTATTATTAGAGAAGAACTGCGTAGAAACGGAGGGGAAAATGGAGATTCCAAGTACTTCACCGCCGCGAGCCAGCGACCACGGTCGCCGCGAGCTCGTCAACTTCACTCTCCCTCCCGCTACTCCCCCAAGCCCCGAGCACCGCCCCCATCCGGAGCTGCTCCGCCGCCTCCTCGTCCCGCGGCGGCGGCGCCTTCCCCTGTCGCCACCGCCGCTAGGGCTAGGGCTCGCCGATCCGGCAATGGAAGAAGGCGGCGGCGGCGGCCCGGGCCTGTCGAAGCCGGCAGCGCTCGCCGCCTGCTTCTGCATGGCCCTTTTCTACGTCGCGACTCTCTACGCGCCCGCCGCGCTCCTCCGCCTCCCTCCTCCCCCCTCCTTCAAGAGCTTCATGCTCCGGCGCTTCGCCTGCGCCGCCGTCTCGTCTCTGGTCTCGGTCGTCGCGACCGCCCTCGTTCTCCCGGTGAGTCCCAGTTTTTCAGTTTGCAACTGGAAGATTCCTCTTTTCTAACGATTCGCGACGCCGATTTGCTGTAATCTTGAGTTGGCAATGTGGTTTCCTGCTGTATGCTAGATAAGGAGATGGGAGGTTAGGGATTTGCTGGCTGTTTACGGCATCAGAGGAGACCATCTGGTGAGTCAACTGAGTCAAGTGCAGTATTTCTAATTTTAGTTTTGTGTGTGTCTGCGTGATCACGGGACTGAGGAATTTTCGCTCGCGGTGGTTATGCGTTCAATCCTCGTTCTGCAGATTCTGAAATGAGATGGTTTGTGTATGTGCATGAAACAGTGGCAAGCTGTGGTTCTTCCTCTGTCGTTGACCTCGCTTATGTACGCCGGGAGTTTGGCCCTCAAGTTGTTGTTATGGGTGGATTCATGGAAGGAACATCGGAATTGCTCCGGATGCTTTTCCTTCGAGTATAGCTACGCTTCTGTGCAGTTTCCATTCAGGTGGATTCTCTCCAGGGCCTCGAATATTCTGGCTTGGCGTAACTTTGTTGTGGTTAGTGTTTTTTTCCCGTCGTGCTTGTTGCGCATTAAGACTTTGTCGTGATTCGAAATCTCAATCGGACTAATCATGCATCTCAACACATGTGATGTCAAAACACTTGGCAAAGTCGATAAACTGCAACTTCAAGTAAACATAGATGTTTCTAAACAAATACGATGCATCAAAAGTTAACTACTTAAAGCAATGTGAAAGTGTGGCTTGGAGAGGACATTTGGTCTCTTAATTAGGTTTTGGTGGGTTTTGACTGTTTAAGTACGCATTTTAACTTTTGCTTTACCCAATCACATAACTATGCATGTTAATGATATAATTGTCGTAGTTTCCCATTTTAAGTTGATTTTTGATGGATATGGTAAAGTTACGATCTATTCACATCATTTGTAACTGCAATTAGCCTGTCTCTGAATATATCGACTTGTACGCATTATGTTACGGATAATAAAGTGTCGATAATTTTGTGGATTAAGAATAAGACTATCTAGTTATTCTCAATTTCATGCTGGATACTTTTGAATAAGTTGCTAGATGTTTGATTCGTTTTCATTTTTACTATTTGCATCCTTTATTTAAACAGGCGCCACTGACAGAAGAGTTGGTATTTAGAGCATGTATGATATCCATACTTCTCTGTGGAGGATTCGAAAAGTACAGCATCCTTATCCTGGGCCCGATTTTGTTCAGCTTGGGTAATATGATTGATGAACTTATAATCCTGTCCTGTCCTTAGCAATTCCATCCACGCAACAAAAATTGCAGTTACAGAGTATCTTGGTTGATAATGCTTACCTTGTTGAGATATTGGTCAAGTGCAACACATGCATGGTGCTGCATGTTGAAGTCCGTCATTCTTGTCTGTATTTGGTAATGAAGTATTTATTAACTCCTGCATCCTTCAATTGTAAATAAAGCATCCTATAAGTTATCATCTGAGTTGGCACTTTAGAATCTTAAGGATGTTCTTTTACTTCTGTATTGTCTCATATAAATGATGAATTTGCTTTTTACTCACTACAATTTCCCAAGCTAATAGGCTATGTATTCAGAATTGTCTGATACACTTTATCAGAATTGGATTAGGTCCATGAGAACAATTCTGCATGCTGTGATACATAGTTAAAAGTGACTGTTTTATCGCATGGTAATTGCTTCAGAGTCTCTTGCTTTTAACCCAGTGGAAGTCTCTGGAGTCCATCCTTCCAGTCATAGTATTTTGTTAACATGTGACTGGGCATGGTGTTCATCTGTGAACATCTTTAAGACTTTTCTCTTCCTCTTGGTCTTTTTGATGATACATGTTTGATCAATGTAATAAGGGTAGATTTCACTTACTGTTCTCTTTTTGCTGGTGTTTGAGTTGGATCCTTCAGTTCATTGAAATGATTGTCATATCAGTAGGAAGAATTTAGAGTTCTTTCAACTGGTAAAAGTTAACTTGCATTCCCTTTTGAATACTCCTAATGTTCCTTATTTTTTACGTCATCTGACTGCAAAGCTATTTGAAATGATCAATATTGTTTCTATTTTCGCAAAGCATCAGCTCTGTCGTTACCAGTTCTGTAGATGGTTGCTGGTTTTAACTTCTGGCACATGCTTCAAAATGTATTTCTGCCTTTTCTGCTATTTTAAGTTGAGGTGAATTTGTGATGATATGATCGATGTGTGATCTTATTTGCAGCACACTTGAACCATTTCATGGAGATCTACATGCAGCAAAAGCGTCAAATTATAAAAGCATCAATGATCATAGGTAAACTCTATCCTGAATTTTATTATAATTAGATGCAATTTTTAAGGTCCGAAGGCTTAGTTTCAACCAATTTTTTTCCTCCCACGGTCATCTTTCTGGTGATTCTCTTTTCTCTTTTTTGTGAGATTTCAATTGCTGAATGAGGCCGTTCTCTCTCTTAACAATGATCTGTTGTTTTGTCAGGCCTCCAGCTTGGATACACTGTTGTCTTTGGTTCATATGCATCATTTCTATTTATCCGGACTGGTACGTCGAAGCTGGTTTGCAATGGTGTTCATTTGATGTCTGAAACTTTTTGAAGGAACAAATTCCATGCCTTGAACAATATCACTGTGAAACCTAAATATATCCGTTTTACAATGCTGGATTTATAGCAGTAGCGTGCATATGTTCTTTCCATTGTGCTTTATTGGGTCAAGAGGTTACTGCTTCTGAGTTGTTTGTTTTGTATGGTGTTGCAGGACATCTTCTTGCCCCGTTAGTTGCTCATATCTTTTGCAATTTCATGGGATTGCCTGTGCTATTTTCACACAGGAAAGGTATGTAACTACGAGTTGGCTTGAGATCTGTATGATTGACCAAATGGACTATTGTCTAATACTCCATAGATGACGTGTTGAATACGACTTTATCTATGAGTTTGGTTTTTTCCCCTGCTCTCCTTTTATTGTCACTTCTCAGCCCTCGTTTTTATTGGTGCTGTTCTGTCTTCCTGTCAGAATGTTTGCTCAATGACTCCTTTAAATAAGGCATCCTTTATACTCTTTTTTTTTGGCAAAAGAATGGAGTACTAATCTTGATATTAACGAATCCTATATACCTAAGATTCCCCTGAAAAAATCTTGACGTCATATACTGTTGTTTTAGCAATGTTCAACTTTGGTCTATATCATTGTTCTGAACATATACCTCAATGACTCGAGTAGGATCATCATTTCTATTAGCAGACGCTCCTCGCCTTGAAACCATCTAGAGGTCTTTATCACCAACCATTCTTCTACGGTGTTACCTCCTGATCTTGCTTGTGCTGGTGTGTGAAGTCGGGAAAGTTATTTTTCCAAGTGCCATCTGAAATGACCATGAAGCAGGAAGCATTATAGACCTCGCAACATTTGGAGAATCATAGTTAACATCCCTCTTTACTTAGCTAAGTTGTGTTTGTAGTAAACCATCTGACGTTGTACGCTTGGAGGTTCTGCTCTCATGTTATAAAGCTGCCCAGATTAACCATCTTTTCCTTTTGTTTTTCTTCTGTTTTTTTTTTTTTTTTGGTTGATGTTATTTAATTTTGTCCATACTCTGTAAAATTGCCTGTGCTAGTATTATGAAAGATGTGTTTCAACATTTTTATCTTTGTGCTGCAGATGGTCACCTTCTTGTATTTTCTGTGACAGGAATTGCAACTGTGGCATTTGTAGCTGGAATGATGGGGTTTCTATGGCTCCTTTTTCTTATGACAAGGCCAGATTATTATAATGACAGAACTAAAAATTGTAGATGTTGGCATGCATTCTGTTCCTGGATCTGAACTTTTTAAAGTTGCAAGATACGTCTTCAGTGTGAGGTTGTGTCCGGGGAGGATATATCGGAGAATTGAGAAAAAGGGATGAAATCGGGATGTTGGGTCATGTCCTCACCGACTCCTCTATCGGCTGATTTATCGGAGGACCAAAAGAAACGTCTCTGTTTTCATCCATACGGAAGTCCATCTGCTCAAACACAGTAGGCCAGCAGATATTATTCTAAAGTCCTTTAATCCGATGCAGCCCAGAACTTGTGCTGATTGTCCATCATCCCCGTCCTTATGGACTGCTGCCGCCTGTATAATTTTGTGCGCATCACTGTGCGTGTTCTTTTCTTCCCCGGAAGTCAGAAGAGGATGCTGGCGGAATTTCTATGGGGATTTATAAGGGATATTTTTCTTGTAATAAAAATCTAGGTTCCCTCGTAAGCATCTCGCTAAGAGGGTTGTTAATTGCTCTCATGTCACTGTATTTGTATTTGGAATTCTTTGAAAAAGCTTTGGCCAAGATAAAGCCTTACCTAATGATTTGAGTGGCAATCATTCATGACATGTGACCTAAATCCAGTTTGAGTACCGCTTGTGGTACAGTTCGAGGGGATTTGCTTGATGCGGATTCACTCATAGATGTATGTTTTTTTTTGGCTCATAGATGTATGTTTGAAGATAGAAAATTTCTGTTTCTTTGGCCATCCCAGAGGAAATTATCATCCCTAAGAGGGTATCGTTCTTTCTTGCAATCAAACGTGCGTGAGAGTGAGACTCAGGAGGGCCTGCTTGATGGTCGAATGGGTCAACGCCCCATACCATGTATGTGGTATTCAGAAGGATGGGCAAGATTCGTGTTGACTTTGTCCACCGAATGCACCCTGACGTTTCTTCTCGGACAGGATCCTTAACATAGAATCTGGATTGAGAATACCCGTGTCTATTCGTGTGCTGTACATCTTGTCTTTTCCTTTTGTCTGGGGTTATGTTTCTCTAGCGCACAAAAAGACATGCATGATGCGCAAGGAACGCAGTTAAAGAACTTCTCCAATTAAGCAGCACAAACATTCTTCTAGGATTCAGTTTTAGCGGACTTGGTACGAGCTATATTGCTTGAATGTGAAGATGAGCAAATCATAATCTCAGAGAGAGAGAGAGAGAGGTGCATTTGGCATTTGGTGATGGACCGAGACTTGCTTGAGAGATTAGAAATTCACATGTCAACCCGCAAAGATCGTCAATAAAGAAAAACCGAACCGATGAATCTAACGACAAACTTCTTTTTCTAACTGGGTATTACACTGGAAGAAGAGAGCGGATCGTCGATGGGGTCAGGCGGGGCATTCGTGGCGCATCTGAATATTAGGCGTTGGTGCCGGTATTGGAATAATCAGGTCGCGAGCTAGAGCTAGCGGAGCCACGGCGCTGATCGAGAATGGTGGTGTTCGAGGTAGGACTAGGACCTTCCTCCTTGGCATTGGAGAGCCTGTCCTTCAGCTGGGAAAGGAGTGCCTGGTTCTCTTGGTTCAGGAGCTGGGCTCTCTTCCTCAGCCTCTCGTTCTCTTGCATTATGTAGCAGTTCTGCAGATACAGCTCCGAGTTCAGCCTCTCCATCTCTGCGGCTTTCAAAGTGGCAACTGAACCGCTCCTCCGACGACCGGTGTTGCTTCTGCAGATTGCCCTGTTATTATTCCAAGACACAGAATCAACGAAGTATTGCTGAGTACTTTTCTAAGCATGAGGTTGACCACAATACATTAGTCAATGCCAGGCATACGAGGAGTGTTAGTATTTCTGTCTGAGCAGAATCAAGACCAGCTAAAGAAACAAAGATAGCTATCAGAAACCATACCGATGTCTCTCTCTCTCTCTCTCTCTATCTCCTTCACTGTGTTTCGTGTTCTCTTGTTCTTGTGGCCTTGTTGGGTTTGAGTTAAGAGCATGCATACCGTTTCCCAGAATCCATGGCAGATATAAATAGCCAGAAAACAAACAGAGGGAGCTTTTGTGGCGTAAATGTGAAAGCAGATGAAGACACGGAATATCATAAAACAAACACATTTGCCCAAATCAGCACTGTTCAGGACTTGTTCCCCTTTCGGCTTCCCCAACATGAAAGAAAGGGATAAAGCTCTTCTCTCTCTCTCTCTCTCTCTCTCTCTCTCTCTCTGTGGCTCTGCACAACTACTCATTGCTATTTTGCTGATTCCTAAGACTCGGGCCATCGTGTACGAGGCCAGCCACATCTGTGGCACAAAATGTCCTTGGCAGTTTAGATTGAACATGCAAGAAAACCCATGTCCTCCTAAAGAGAATTGACTGACCGAAAGTGTCATATACTAAAGGGAGAAAAAGGGATTCATAAACATGCAGTCTCCACTCAAAACTAAAGCCCCATAAAGCTCATGCAGAAGTTACCTGAGTAAATAAGCAGAGAGGATAGCGAATGTTACAAGACGTGAGCTGTGGGGAACATCAGGAGAGGGACAAAGGATAAAAAAAAACCAGAGGGGTAGTGTGAATTATATAGTGGACAAAGTGGAAGAAAGATGGGGGGGATTTTGTCTCTCTGTCCGGAACTGCAATCATGAGATGTGAGCATGGAAGGCGGCTCGTGTTGATGAGTGGTTTCGGAATTGATGATCCTCATTATGTTGGGAGGAAGATTATTGCCCCCTTTTCACTGCTCACTACTCACCTTTTCATGTTGTAATAGGATCACAAAAATATGTGGGAGGTTAGAGAATGAATAATGTCGCGCAAGAATTAGCTTATGTCTTTTTAACGATTATGTTTTTAATGGGTGGGTTACATATTATGAACATCGCCGCTACATACAGACTCGACAAAATAAGATGTGCCGGATGTGCAATGTTGCGACAGTCAATTTAAGGTATGATTAAAAGAAACTAAGGTGTCGGAAAATGATATTCGATAAAAATATATGACATAAAACAGGGAAAGTGTATGCCGTGTGATTACGAAATATCACAAGTTGGTGAGCTTCGGACACGTGTTTTGTAGAGGCCGGTGGGTTCAATAGCTTAATGGAATGAGAGTTTGCATGTGCTGGTGGCTTGATTCAACGAACAAAATATTTGCCATTCATCTTTACAGATTAAGATCCTCTCAATTTTAAGGAATTTTAGATCTTCAATTGACACCTTAAAGGACCACCATAGAACACACGGGAGATGTCGACTAAGGTGAGAGTGTATCTTCATGTGATTTAGTGTAAGACCAACCAATTGATTCCACATGTCGAGCTCTGGACGCAGGTGTTGTCGACAAGCGTCCTAAAGAAAAAAGTGTATTACGCATTGCTCGTATTCAATTACCAAGTGATGAAAATATGCAATAAATCAATTGTACAAGTGTGTTTACGGATTCGACAATCTAAAAATTATTATTGATATCTCGTGACTGTTGGACAAAATGGTTTCCTTTTCCTAACTAGAAGTTAGCTTATATTTTTTTCGAAACATCGAAAATTAGAAAATCATTGTGATATCACATCTCGCAACATGTGCTTCCATTGACGAAGTCCCGCAAGTGTGATCCAACCTTACTCACACGCGATTATTAGATTTGATTTGGGTCTTTTTAGATTTTTCCTTTTGGGCATAGAATGGATATCGTTGTCGTAGGATTAAGCTGAATGATTCATGGTATTTGTCAAGTGGTAACCTCATCAAATGAATGGAGTTTTCTCTTTTATGAGGACATTCGTGGCTTGTCTATTTAGTATACAGGGACGGCAAGTTCTACCGATACATTTTTCATTTTAACGTGCTCTATACTTACACACCTTGTATTTTCAATTCATTACGAATTTTTGTTTTTTCCAAGACGTAGGAATGAATATCCTCTAAAAATTTTACATTTTGATGATCCCGACATTCGAACGAATTTAACGATCTAGACATCCAAACAAAAATCAAAATAAAATCTTTTAAGGTCATCCTTAGGATCGGCTATCTATCTCTATCTCTCTCTAGCAAAAGATAATGGGATAGGCCGTCCCCCAAGATACGCAATGATGGGCATGGATCGGTTCGAAGTTCGAACCATCATGACCTCTCCCCCCCTCCCTGCCCATCAATGGCCCTATTCTTGTCTCCATGTGAGGATAGATTACGGGCAACCAATTACCATATCCGGTTACCCGCATTCTTACTTTCGGGTCATCATGTTGTTTTCGGGCGTCGGGAAGCGTTGGCAATGATCATGCTCCGCCGTAGCGTTTTAATGCGAGAGGGGCGTGATGGCCGCCGCTTTACACACACACACTGAGTCTCACTTGTATTGAGCCTCGTGTACCTTCATTTTGCCCTTTTTGATCTGGCATTTGCGTGGTTTACTATTACTACACACGAGGGAGATAACTTTGACTTTAAATTATGAATGCGAGCTATTGGGATTGGATTGTGTTCATCAATCATGACTCTTGCACGTACGTGCCTAGTGTTGCACTTTGGCAGCCCCAAAAGACATCTAGGTTGAGGCCTATTCAGGTAATGGAAGACGTAAAGGGAAAATTGTGGGTGGATTGATGTTTTTTCTTAAAGTTTATCTTGATTCAATTGGGCCTGGAAACACTTTTTGGAATGACCCATTTTGGCCTTTTGAGATGATGTCGAGAGAGAAACCTGAATTTTGTCCCTCAACTCGTAGAGAGGAAGTTCGAAATGCAAAACTAATGTCGACTCGATGGCGTGGAGTGTCTTTATGGAGAAGGAGAATATAATGTGGTATGTTGCATCTATATTGTTTGCTCATGTTAACATCATGAGGACTAGGTTGAACAGTTTTTTTAATAAAGTTATTATTAGGAGTGTGCAACAGCCGGAGAGATCACTAAGAGGGAGCCTAAGTTCGAACACGTTAAAATATTCAATTGGACCTACCTTCACTCAAAAACTTAAGCCAATGAATTATGGCCTAACTAGGATATATTAACTGTTGTACACCGCACTAATTATCCGATTTAAGATTTCCCTAACAAAATTTATACGTGCATCATAACAATCTACACCTTAATTCAAGTAATATTTATATGCATCAAGATATAAAGTTGGTACCAATTTGTTAGGAGTGTGCAACAGAAGCGTAATATCTTTCGCCCGGGAGATCACTAAGAGGGAGCCTAAATTCGAGGCTAGTAAAATATCCAATTGGACCTACCTTCACTCAAAAACTTAAGCCAATGAGTTATGGGCCAATTAGGATAAATTAACTGCTCTACACCACACTAATTATTTGATGTGGGATTTCTTTAACACAACTTATACGTGCATCATAACGGTCATTGTCCCTAATTGAATCGTAATGTAGTTTTTTGACAACTTATAACATAAGATAAAAGTTGAGACTATCGAGAGTGACCTTCCTATAGATGGCCTTCAAGTTAACTGTGCGAGTGCACATATCTAAGCTTCTGAAGAGGTTTTTCTTGAGCTTGAAGTAAGGGATGAGACTAATGGGGCCCCGAGCGAGGTGGTCAATGGTTCCTCTTAGACGCAACGTTGGTGTACAAAGCAAATCTAAATTGTTGAACAACGTCGTTGCCTAACATTTTCATTTCACTTTACCCCCTCAAATTGATAAAACCTAGTAATACAATTCTACAATCTTGAGAATGTTGCCGCCAAAGATAAAATGGGATGAATGCACTGTAAATTCTAAGAGTTGTCGCGAGAGTGCGATCAAATTTTAAAACTTTCAAGTAGTGCAATCAAATTTTGAAACTTGTCAAATTGATATGATCAAATATAGACCCGTGACAATTGGTATCGCAACAATATTTCTTGTCGCCGTGGCTTCCAACTCCGACGTTGTCAACTCCATGGATGTTGCTCAAGAGAAGGACGACCGTGGGAAGGTTAAGAGGGCTAGCTCGATAGACTCATGTCTGCCTTTGAGGAAAGGCTAAACAAGGTAATGGTGGCCATAGGTTACATGAAGAATGGGTTCGAGGAAATGAAGGAGTGGATGGACAAGGTGGAGGAGACACTCCGAGATGAGTTCTCGAGTGCTACGAATCACGGGCCACTTGAATGGAAAGAATAAAGACCTTGAAGCCACCAACGAGGCATTGGAGTTTGAACTTCAAGAGCTCAAGATCGAGTTAGTCCTGTGCAAGGCTAGCATTGCAAAAGTGTGGGATCCGTTCAAGCAACACCCAAGGTGGACGTGCCGAGAACCAAAGAGTTCAAGGGCAACCGCTCTGCTAAGGACATGGACAAATTTTTTTGAAGTATGGAGCAATCCTTTGGCCCATCGGCATGCAAGACAAGAACATACAGGTAAGAATCACTTCTATGTTTTTGACCATGTTGCTATGCGGGCGTCGTAGGTGCGGTGAGATCGAAGTGTTGGTCTTGTCAACACTAGGGATGAATTCATAAAGAAAATTTGGGAGAAAATTTTCTCCCTAGTTCGCTTAGGACGAGGCCCATGGTAAGCTTTGTCGGCTCACACAAAATGGACGGTTCTGGAGTATGTCGAGGAGTTCACCGAGCTTAGGCTTGAGATCCCCGCCCTTGGGGATGGGAAGCTCTCGTTGCCTTCATGGATGGTTTGAAGCCTTGGACAAGAAGAGAGCTCCAATGACAAGGTGTCCAAGATATTTCCAAGGCCCTCACCATGGCCGAAACTCGTGTGGACTTCTCTAATCCCAACTCTTCCATACCAAAGAACAAAGGGAAGAGTGGAAGAAGCCCCAAGGCGAGTGGCACAAGGATTAGAAGAAAAAGACTATCAAGTGCTTCTTTTGTGATGGCCCTCACTTGGTTAAAAATTATCTACAGCGAGGCAAGCAATCTGCTCTCATGGCGGACGATGCCGAAGAAAGGGAGAAGACTCGCATCGGATCAATCAAGATCCTCAACGCGCTAAAGAAAAAGAAAGTCTTGATGTTCACCGATGTCTATGTCGTAGGAACGAAGATGAGCGGTTCAGTGGATACCGGCGCATCTCATCTCTAGATCCGCCCGATCACCAGAACACATATCACCAACAGTTCACTTAGCTGATTGTCTCGCAATTAGCAAAAGCACAGGGCGAAGCATTATATAATTATATCAACGAATGAAGCGAAGAGCCCGTTTATAATAAGATGTTCCATTGCTTTTGAGATACAGATGTTTACCCAGAACACCATTTATTTATTCTATCCCCGAACCAACTTTGCCTGTATAAAACAATTACATTGTGCATTCGGGTATTTCTATACCTGTGTATCAAGGTTATCACGATTTACAGGCAGGGTTGGACGAGAGGCTGGTCAACCAAGCTGAATCTGCTTCCACACCCACATCATCGTCATTCCTATGCCATGTCCAAAGTGCATGAGTTGCATTCACCACCTCCAGTTGCCCGTGCCCAAAGCTCGCCTCCCGGAAAACCGATATCGATGGTGCCGGATTCATGTACCTGGCAAGGGAAGCAGCGGCTTTAAAGTTAAACCCATCTATGGTTAGTCAGCCGCAGCAAAATGCAAATTGAAGTTCAACTTTTTCCCGCTCTCAGTCAATTTCGGTTTCATTGTGCAGCCAGCAACTGATAAGCAGAAAGAAGCATTTGGACAAGGAACACGAGAAAAACCTTTTGGCAAGGCCTTCGCGGTTTCCGCCATCGCCGATGGTGATGTGCACCGGACCGCAATCATTGGCATTTCCGTTGTAGACGCGGGTCTAAAGAGTAAGGAGTGAAATGAAAGCAGAGATGAGAAACTAGGAGGAAAGCATAGCCTCAACAAAAGATAGAACAGAGAAGGATTAGGGAACTTACAAAGCGCTCATAGGCATGCACATGCCCAGCGAAAACCACGTCGACTCGTGCTTGATAGAGCAAACCTTCCATGGAGGCTTTCATCTCGACCGATTCCTTCTCGCCTTGATGAGCAGTGTTAGAATTATACCACGGAGCATGGATCAGCACCACTATCCAAGGGGTCCTCTTCCGGTCCACCTTCCCCAAGTCGGCTTGCAACCACTTGTACTGGGCTGAGCTTGGGTCAAAGTCCGTGTATGAGCCCAGCATGATGATGTGGACCCCGGCGACATCGAATGAGTAGTAGAGGTTGCTGTCCGAGCCGCTCTCCTCAAATGGCATCCGCCACCTCGCGTTGTAGGACGTGAAGGAATGAGGATGGATGACCGGCATCTTCTCAATCTCATGGTTGCCTTGGGTCACCATCCAGGGCCTCTGGCTAGCCAGGGGCTCGACGAGGCGGCCAAACGAGTCCCACCAAGGCTGGAAGAAGTCGGCGTACGACAGATCGCCGGGCAGCAGCAAGACGTCATAGTTCGATTGTGCTATGTGTTGAAGGGTCGATGTGGTCCATCCTGTCTGTCCGAGGTCGCCTGCATCATGCCATGTCAAACTTTAAACCACCTTCGTAAAAAGCATTTTGCGGAATATTTAACATAGTGCCAATTAAACCGCCGAGATAGACGTGAGAAGCATTAACATGTTTCATATGCATGCTTTGTCCAATCCCGCTATATGGGGGGAAAAATAGGCTTCTGCTCATATAATGAACAGAGTTGCAGCATTAAAATGTTTCCTACCATCACTCCAAAAACAATGTGAATGGACCAGATCAAACACTAAAACAAACCAAAAATTGTCCCAATAGAACTATAGATTGTAATTCATCTTCTTGACTTCTTGTATATTACACGGTCACTTTCCACCTAGATGAAAACCCTTCTTGATGATTATATGCTTCTACATACCTATTACTGTGAATTTGATCGGTAACTGCGCGGGAGGGGTTTTGAATCTGAACTCGCGGGCCAAGTCTGAGCTACATCGGTAGTAATATACCATATTAGGTTCCAGCGGACCGATGACCGCCTCGTGGATTTCCCCGGACTTGTACAGTGCGTACTTGTATGAAGTTGTATTTCCCGTCACTGAGTTCTGGTACACGCCCGGCGACTTGCCGTATTCCACAGTCGGAGGAGCCGAGCCTTGGGTGATCCACGAGATCCTCATTTTATCTTGACCCACCAGAGATGTATGCACCTGAGAAACAAAGCCGGGGATTTCAGCAGACCTTTCTAACATGTCTATTCCCCAACTAATCTAAGATGGAATTTAGCTTCAATGTCAATGACATGAGAAGGTAAAAGTAAAAAAACAAGTTTGTCAATCATTGTAAGGAGCAGCTGTTGAATCAGGATTAATCAAGCCTATCGCATGAAGTTGATGGAACTGTTTTAGATCACGATTCACACATCATATACATGATTCTAGATGAAGTACATTCTAAATATTCAAATGCAATGATACATGTTATGTTTGCACAATGTTCACATAGGTCACATAACTTTGTCCACTGATCTAGCCCACCAATTACATACTTAAAATAAACCTAAGAGACACTTACCTGGAAAAATAAAAGAGTTAGATTTAATATAGAAAAATAAAAACTCTCTGGATTACCCCCCCCAAAAAAAAAAGGGGAGAGAGAAAGGTAGAGATAGTCTTCAAACTTCAAATCTTTTAATCCAATAAGTCCACGAAAATGTCTGCTCATGAAGATAGCCCTAGCTTTTCGTTCATTTGCTAGCAGCAGAAAACATAAGCACATCAAACTGGATCGAAAAGGACAAGTCTAGTTGATCTATTAACGTAATTAATCTAATTAATCGGTGGGGACTACTAATGACACTGTTAAAAGTCACGCACCACCTAATACCCCGTGACCTACTTATTCCCGCGGAGTGCACTGTACATGCCATGACAAGGCGGGAAGGAAAAAAAAAAGGAATTTTAGATCCGCGTTTTCTTGCTATACAATTGACTTTTTTAATAGATACTTGAAGGGATTTATTATTAAAAAATAGACATATGTGTATGTATCAAGTGCACTATATATATATATATATATATATATATATATATATATATATATATATATATATTCCTAGATAAGGTAATTGTGGCCATTAAAATTTCACATGGGATTTACATAATTCACACAACCAAAGATTATGATTGACTCGATCAATATATGTTAGGATCGAGTCGGGCAACCACTTGCCGTGTTTGAGCCATCCATCCGAGATTCTGCTTGTGTCATAAACGCCAATGAAGTTAATGTGCATCCTAATGGGATCGGATTCAGGTGACCTTTCTTGTAGTCAAAGAGGGAAAAAAAAAATATCGCCATAATTAAACAAAACACCAAAAATAGCTCAGAAAAAAACGAAAATGCGTGGATTATCTTTCCGATAATATGGTCGCCCGTGGATAGAAAGTTGAAACATCCCCATTTTGTTTCTTTATCTTTTGGATCGACTGAGGCACATCATCATTGCACTTTTGAACCCAACATGGAAAAATCTTCATCGGAACCTCTGTCGTTTTCGGCAAAGTTCACGAGCATTTCCAAACGAAGCCGGAAGAACCGAGAATGAAAAAAAAAACACAGGAAGACAAACACTGAGCGATTTGATCTTCTCTCTATTTTGCGTGTATGCAAATGGAAAGCGAGCGTGGCCATATTCTGCGACCTTCGCACGGCACTAATCCCCGGAAATCAGGCAAAATCAGCATCCTAAACTTGCACCAAATCACCACACAAGCACTGCAAGGGAGAGGGAGAGAGCTAGCAAAAACGGCGAAAAGACCATGAAGATGAACAAGCCGCCCTTAAACGTCGATAGTGGAGCGTCGTTCCGACGTACCTGCTGGGGAGAAGCCGAATCCCCGTTCTTGGAGTCGGCAACAAACATGTCGGGGCGCGGTTCCGGGCGATTGTAGGGCGACGTCGTCCCTGCCGACGCACGGTCGAAGCAGGCTCCGGTGAAGGCCGTGGCCATCAGTGCCAGAAGAACGACCACGCGCGGCCTCATCGGAGCGCGCATTTCTCCGGGGTCCCTCTCTCTCTCCTCGACGGTGGCGCGGGCGGCGGGAGGAGGAGGAGGAGGAGGAGGAGATCAAGAGAGGTTGAGATGGAAAGACTGTCTGGGTGGCTTCCTGTGAGTTATATCCTCGTACTCGTTTTTATTCATCTTCCATTTATATAGATTCATGTCGGCCTCTGGCGGATCGTGTCCAGCATGGGAAATCAATAACGTCCGGGACAATTTTAGTCGCTTAACCCCCGAAAATGAAAAGCCCGAAAATAATTATAACATTAACATATGCCTGCGATAATGACAGGAGCTAATAATTATGGAGCAAGCAAGTAATTTCTCACCGCAATCTTCCATTTATCGGGGATTTCTCGAATATTGTATAAGTAGTATTTTTGTTTTCGAAATATTCGAGCGTCTTTAAGATGGGTTTTCTCGTCATTAAAAAAATAATTAAGGCCCGATTTATATTTTTTCGAAATATACGTTTGATGAGATTATGTGGTGGGTTTAACTCCTTTTAGGCGTAAGTAGAGAGAGAGAGCAGTGTCCATACGAAAATGGTTTAGACAAAAGGCCCGTGGTTTACATGGGACACGTGAAGCATATTCCGAAGCATAAAGATGACGGTCCATTGGGAATTTCTAAGCTTCAAACATTGGATTTTCCATTTCCCAATTTTGCCTTCTATTTATTTATTTGTTTTATCTTTTTTTTTCTTTTTTTGGGTGACTTGCTCTTTTGGCGTTTCGCAGTTGGAAGATATCGTCACGGTTTTGGGGATTTTCATTGGTTTTCCTTAAACGTTGCATTGCGGCCAAGGTTTCGCTATGTTGTCTATAATCTAAATCTCTCGAACGAACATTGAGGATAAGAAACTTTAGTAGTTCCGGTCCATTAAGACAAGATATTTGCATGCGTTGTATATTCACGTCATTCAAATATAGTTTCGGTCTATCTTTACATACTCTTTACTGTATGTATAATCGATCTCGATTTGATTACCATCAATCGCCGTCCAACAAAGTTAATTAAGCTTAATCTAAGTGTAGACGGAACTGGGAATTTGTTCCTTAGTAGACAACCCTAATCACCCTTGAGAGCATCGAAGAGAAGTGACCCCATTTTCGTTCTCTCAAGATGGACAGTAAGGCCTCGAACATGACGTCCGTCGTAAGGTGTTTATTTTAACAAATACTACATGATCAAATAGATATGCCATCCAAATATTTACACATTTAAAACTTTATTCCCATGGTAAGTTTGGCATAATTGATTATCATTTGTCATTTGAGATCGTATTTGCTTGTAAAATTACGTTTTTTTTTTATGACTTTGGTGTCACGGACCAGCAGTTCCTTGACTGCAAAAAAGCCTGTGTGGCACCTGGTAAGTCGATAACATCAAGCCAGCTTTCGTTCTATAATTGTTTCAAAGAACCATATGGCGAATAGTTTCCTCATATCGAATCATACCATGTTCAGCTAAGCTCGGGCGTCTAATCCATCAAGCGCATGTTCAACTAAGCTCGGGCGTCTAATCCATCAAGCGAGATAAACGGAACACTTTAGGTACAATCACTAGTTTCGGTTTGCCATGGTCTCATCAGAAGAGCGACATAAACTCCATACCAGTTTGTGCACGAGAGGCTAACCCACCTTCAAAGCTCCTAAGGGTATCTTAATTCTAACCTAAAACTCCTAGCACAAACCACCCCAATGCCACTCCCATGAACCAATTGTATTAATCCCTTCTGCATCACTCACTCTTCATCGAAAACCCCAAGTTCCACTCACAAGGGTACACGAGTATGGGAAAACTCCAGTGTCACTTCGGTCTGTGACATTCTCCCTACTCAATTCCACAACGTCCTTGTTGCAATCTGTTCTGTCGCTTCCCTGCGTTCCTCAACTATTAGGGTGCGTTTGGTAACCATTCTGTTCTCGAAAATAATTTTTGCTTAAAAATAATTTTTTTATGTTGTTCCCGGAAACAATTTCTGAGCATTTAAAGATGTTTGGTAATGGCCCAAAATTTCTATTCCTGAAATAGAAAAAGAACATAAATGCGTTTGGTAACTGCACAAAATTTCTTTTTATTAATAATATTTTAATAATATTTTGAATTTTTTAAATATTTCTTTCTTTCTTTTTTTTCTTTTCTCCTTCCTTGCCCATGGCTGGCAAGGGCAAGGGCTGGACCCTCGCAACCTGGGCAAGGGCCACCTTCGCCGCCGCCCTCGTCTGTGGCTGGCAAGGGCCGCGACGCCCTTGCTAGCCACCGGCCACAAGCTAGGAAAGAAGAAGAATCGGCCACAGGCCAGGAAGGAAAGAAGAAAAAGAAAAAAATAATTCTCTTCTATTTCTGATTCTTGTTCCCAGAATCAAGAATCAACTTTTTTTTTATTCTTGATTATGTTCCAAAACTGATTCTGGGAACCAATTTGTGCTCGGGGACAAAAAATTTACCAAACGGACTTCTGTTCTTTTTTTGTTTTCGAGAACAAAATAATAGAATCAGGCACTATTTGGCTGGTTGCCAAATAGGCCCTTAATGTGCCACTCTAGGTCATACATTGAATAGTCTTCAACCATTGATGTGCCACTTTTGGATCATACATCGAATGGCAACGCTTGCCCAACAGAACATGCCACTCTACTCCACCGGTAGCTTTTTTCGATCAACGTTGTTTGAGTATCCTCGGTCACTTGTGCTTTCCTTGACAAGTGTGGCACGTTTCACCAACTGCACCTTTTGGAAGCACCCTCTTTTGCCTACTAATTTTCTCCTGATCTCAGCAAACTAATGGAGGTTTCTCTCCTTATTGATAACGTGGTGGCAGACCCATATTGAGATTCGCCAAATTGATCCAAGAACATTTTCCCTATTCAGTAGGGAATTGGTTCTTTCCCGTGCCCCAATTGTCATCCTAGACACTAGTCAAGAGCCACACTTTGTCCAACCAAATTTTGCCCTAGCAATTCACTCTCTGCTCTTGTATGACCGGGTAGACCACTGGTTTTCTCCAACTCTAGCTCACCTACTGGAGGGATCCTGCTATAATACAATCTATCACGGGCCGACAGTTCTTCGGTTGCGGAATAGCCCGTGTGGCGCTTGGTGCAGTCAATAACACCAAACCAGCCTTTGTTTTATAGTTGTTCCAAAGAACCGGATGGCGAATAGCTTCCTCGTATCGGATCGTACCATGCCAAGCTAAGCTCGAGCGTCTAGTTCATCGAGTGAGACATGCATAACACTAGGTACAACAATTTGTTTTGGCCTGCCAAGGCCTCATCAGGAGAGTGCCATCAGCTCCTGACCAGTTTATGCACGGGAGGCCAACCCACGAACCAGTTGTATTCATCCATTTTGCATCACTCACTCTTCACCTGATAACCCCAAGCTCCACTCACAAGGGTATGCGAGTATGGGAGAACTCCAACGCCACTTCGGTCAGTGAGGTGAAATAACAATTCTAATTACCCTTGAGAGTATCAAAGAGAAATAAACTAATTTTCTTTCTCTCAAGATGGATAATAAGGGCTCGGACATGACATCGGCCGTAAGGTGTTTATTTTAACAAATACTACATGATCAAATAGATACGCAATCAAATATGGACACACTTAAACTTTATTCCCATGGTGAGTTTGGCATAATTGATTATCATTTGTCATTTGAGATTGTAGTTGCATGTAAAACTAGGTTTTTTCTATGACCTTAGCCTCTCCTTGTATAACTCTTTCCGCAAGGCATGCAAAATAATTAATTTCAGGTCATGCCAGCTAATGAGGGTGAAAAAAATTATCAATGATTATTATGATTTGCATTTTTCTATTTCTCGCACCAATATGATCTTTGATCGGGATCACACAAGTTTAACGAGAAAATTACATTACCAAAAAGTCCCCAATGTTTTGCACGGATGCCAATCCAATCTTAAACCTTTAAATTTTGTCAATTGAGTCCTAAACATTTTGAGAATTTGCTAATGTAGTCCTTTCGGCCAATTTTGGCTGGAAATCGTTGACGTGGACAATCTACTATATTTTAATAATTTTTTTGGCACAACCCCCGTGTTGGCGCGTGGTTCATTCTCCCCATCAACTAAAAGGCATGGGGTCCCTCTCTCTTGTAATGGTGGGAGGTGCTCATAATAGCGGAATCTTCTGTAGAATGTAGCCCTAGTTTAAGGGTGGACCAGAATAAATCTTTGTATATTGATTTTTCTTTCTCGCCTTTACTCTCTAATTCGTTGTGTTTTGTGTGGCTAATTCTAACACCCTACCAGTGTTAAAAGAAAAAAAAGAAGAAATGAAAGAAAGAAAAAAGAGAAAAAAAAAGAAAGAAATTTTTATCATGACATAATTCTTTGTTGGGTTAATACCACGAAAAACCTATGACAAACTTATGACGAACTAATTTTTTACCATAAAAAACCCAAAACTAGTATACCGGTGATAAATTTATCCCAAACTAATTTTTTGACAACCAAAAATCCCAAATCGATACACTTGTAACGAATTTACCCTCCGTTAAATTGGATTAATACAAAAAGAATCACAAATTGGTAAACCTGTGAATAACGGAGGGATAAAACCCAAAACTGGTACTCCCGTCAATTCTCACATGTTATCCAACTCAAAAATTTGACATTAAAATTTAACGGAAACTAACGGAGGGTAAATTTGTCATAGATGTATCAGTTTGAGGTTTTTGGTGATAAAAAAATTAATTTAGGGTAAATTTATCACAGATGTACCGGTTTAAAGTTTTTCGTGGCATTAACCATTCTTAATTTTCTCTTTGCATATAGTAATCTAGAATCCGGTGGGCGTATAGTATCCCACTAGAGCTCGCACAAGATGCAAGAATCCCCATAATCAGTCGTGAAACTCCATGCTTCGTCACGTTTTCGCGCTTGCAATTTCTTCAATCGATCAAAAAGCGATCGAAATAGCTTCAACCCCATAGTTTGGATTATTCTGATTTGCTGCCTTGTATTACGGGGACAGCTAGTCTCCCGGTGCAAAAATTGATTAGCCAATATTCCCGCTAATGTTCCGTCATTGTCTCTCTAACATAGCCTCTTAATCTCTCCCCTTACAGGTCTTAAATGGACCCACCAGGCAAATTTGGAGTCGTGTTCGAAGGGCTTGATGTAATTTATGGTTTAAAGCACCCTTC